AAGATTAATGTGACTCAAGGGAAAAAGATGCACTTAAAGTTCTAAATAAACTCCTCCAAATACCTATCCCAATAAACAGCAAGAAGAAGTTAGGAAACAGGCATGAACAAAAAAACTTTTTAATAAATTTGGTTACATTTAAAGCATGATACACAATAGAGATATGCATTGGTATAGATTTTGGTTTATTAGTATAAATTTAATAAATTTGTTATATATATATTATAAATTACACACACACACACACACACACACACATATATATATATATATATGTTTCTGACTTGATTAAGGTATTGTATTGTACAGCTAGTTTAAAATATAATGTATAATTTTGAAACATAGGTTAATATAGAGTCATCTATAAGAGTCAAGCTTATTGTCAGGTTACTTAGCTTTTCTACAGTTACAGAGATATATTTCAGATGGATATTTATTATTTAAGCTTCTCAAAGTTTAACAAAATATGATATTTAAAATGTTTTCAAAACATAGGGCTCTTCGTGACATTGAGACACATACTCATCTACTCCTGGTAGCACCAATTACTTCAAGAGGAAGATGGGCATCTAGCAGGCTCCTTATGGAGTTTGCTAGCCATTTGGACAAGAAACTGCTTTTGCCTGGACTGCTTCATGATATATTGTATTAACTAGACATGCTGGACCCACAGAGAAATGTCTGCTAAAGTTGCCTAGAGAAGGTGAGAGAAGTCTTTAACAGATCCTGCTTTATGAAAGGGTCTGTAGGACAATCTGCAGGACATGGAAGAAAGTGACTGACAAACTGCCATTATAGGGGGAACTGTCTTTGTAATTTCTTGATAAAGTCTGCCAGAAACTATGGGCCAGTATGATGAATATAGGTGCCTGTAAAGTTACAGAATATCCTTGGATGACTGTCCAGGCAGTCATATGACTTTCTTAATTCTAGAGTTGTGGAAATTGCATACAATGGAATTCTTGTTAACTTAGGTAATATCATCTCCTTTTGGAGACATTCATGGAGTTGATGAATAAATAGATATAATTAATTATAGTTTTCCCTAGTTATGATAAAATATAAGAAACATATCAATATAATAACTGTGATTCTTGCTAGATCACAGTTTTTTATATGAGATTTTATTAAGTTAAAGTTAAATCTTTCTCTTTTATTTAGAAAAAAAGGAAGGTTTTTTGGAAGATTATGTTATCTGTGAATATTTTTTATTGGAGGAACAGTAAAGAAGATATCTTAACTAAGCAAGCCATTTTAGGGTTGCCAATAATCTTGTCTCTAGATGGGTTCCCAGGTGTCCAAGAAGTTTCCCCAGCTAGGTCTGTGGGCAGCAGAGGAGAGGGTACCTGAACTTGCCTCCTCCAATAGCAACACTGATGTTTATCTTGCATATCACCTAGAACCTTCATCTGGTGTGGGATGGAGATAGACTGAGACCCAAATATGGGCACTTAACTGAGCTCCAAAATCCCAGATGAAGAGGAGAAAAAGGGACATTGTATGAGCTGCGGGCTGTGTTCTGTCCAGCTCCCAGCCACCTGGCTAGATTATGTCCCAAAATAATTACATGGAAACTGTATTCATTTAAACACTGCCTGGCCCATTAGTTCTAGCCTCTTATTGGCTAATCCTTACGTATTGATCTAACCCATTTGTGATGGAGGTGGGTCATCTTTCTATCTGTTGTTTCATTGGTTAGTTAATAAAGAAAACTGCTTGGCCTTTACTAGGACAGAAACTTAGGTTGGCGGAATAAACAAAACAAAATGCTGGGAGAAAGAAGCTGAGTCAGTCAGTCGCCATGATTATTCCACCTGACACAGCAACAGGATAAGATCTTCCCTGGTAAGCCACCTCGTGGGCTATACATATTATTAGAAATGGGTTAGATCAATATGTAAGAGCTAGCCAATAAGAGGCTGGAAATAATGGGCCAAGCAGTGTTTAAAAGAATACAGTTTCCGTGTAATTATTTCGGGGCATAAGCCATGCAGGCGGCTGGGTGCCGGGGATGCAGACCTGCCACAACCTCAACACATTTCTCATATTTTCAGTAGCCGCACTAGGTGTGGCTTACCAGGGATATCTTAACCTGCATCTGTCTCTGGTGGGAGAATCATGGAGACCGCTTTACTCGGCTTCTTTCTCCCAGCATTCTGTTCTGTTTCCTCTGCCAACCTAATTTTCTATCCTATCAAAGGACCAAGCCAGTCTCTTTATTTAACCAATGAAATTATTACAAAACAGAAGACTCTCCCCATCATTTTTTTTTCTGTTTAAACAGAAAAAGAAAGGCTTTCACTTTAACATAGTAAGATTACATATAACAAACATCTATCAAGCATGAATTACAGTTACAATATTTATATCTATTTTATCTCTTATCATCACTAAGGAAAACTATACCTATAACTAACCATTCTTCAACTCCATCAGAGTTCTCCAGAAGGATATAATAATACCTAAGCAAATAAGAAGTCCAAAACTCTAGAAATGTCAGAGACATCTCGCTGCCTGGACAGTCACCCAAAGTTCTTTTGTACCATTGGGGCATCCATCTTCAGCCTACAAGCCATAGTATTCAACAGACATTTCCATGAAGCAGGAAATTTCAAAGACAATTCAGTCACTTTCTGCCGTGTCCTGCAGAATGTCTCACAGACCCTTTCATGAATTAGGAACTCCGAAAGATCATCTCACCTTTATGCAAGTTCAGCAGTCCTCTCTCTGCACGTTCTGTGTCCCGTTTATGCAACAGTCCAGACAAGAGCAGTTTCTTGCACAAATGGGTATCAAACTCTATAAGGAGTCTCTTCAATGCATATCTACCTCTTGAAGTAGATTGGTGCTGCCAGGAGCAGACGTGTCTCATTGTCATGAAAGGACCTAAGTCATTAAAATATTTAAAATGCCATATTCTGTTTCTTTGAAAGATATGAAATGTCTATCTGAAATATATCTATTCACATCTAGAAAATCTAACATGACTACAAGCTTGACTATTATTGATAATTATCCATTAACAATTTATATTTCTAATTATACATTTCATTTTTAAATGAACTACACAATCACAATACCTTAATCAATATCAGAAATACATATACATATAACAAAATTGACCTTAAAATCTATACTAATGCAAATTATTCATATCTAAATCATATCATCCTTTATATGTAAAAGAACATTTATAAACAATACTTGGGAATATGGGCCCATTTTTTTTCTCTCCAAACTGCTTCCTGTTGAATGGGGCCACTGTTAATCAGATCTTTCATGTTGTAACCTGTGTGCCAGGTTTATCTCAGTTGGCAGTTGAGTGAAGTAATTTTTTGAAGGTGTTCACAGCAGCCTTTCAGGAGGGCATGGTCTATCATATCATATTGGGATAGAAGCAATCCACAGGGTCTCATCCTCTGCGAAAACAAAAGAAGACCCTCGACAAAGCATCATATCTTTAGGCCCAAATACTGAAGTCATAATACCCTTATGATATCCATTCTGGTTCCAATTATCAGCCCATATAATGAAATGTCTCTCTACTGAGCTCAGTCACAGTCAAAAATTTTAAAGAAAACACAATAATACAAAGAATCGAGATTCTCTGTGAATTTTCCATTTTTACGGGGCTCATTTTTACTCTATCACTTTATTCTGTCTCTTTAAAGACTTTACCCTTTTTTTAAAGGCATTAACTTTATTTTCTATATATATATATATTTTTTTAATTTCTCTGTCCCAAGCCTACGTACACCTCCAACACTGTGATCCATTTAAAGTTCTTTTATGACGGAAATCTGTTTTATTTTGAATATGTATTTTTTTTTTTTTACTATCCAGGAACACTTTGTTTTGCGCCTTTAAATCACCAAGCATTTAAGAATCTAAGCTATGACATTCCTAGGTCAAAAACAGGTACTGCCTGCTTGCCCTACCCAGTCCAACATGGTGGAGCCGCTCGTGCCTCTGAGCCACAGCATGCAATGACTTCCTTTTAGGCATACAGCGAGTCGACTTCCCATCAAACAAATCATAGTACTTTACTCCAAATGCTCCACTCAAAGACAGAAATCCTTAATAAATAAAGAAATTTAAAAAAAATAAAAATAAAAAAAAAATAAAATAAAAAAAAAAAATTAAAAAAAAAAAAGACTCTGTCTCCCGCAGGAGCAAGACAGAGATCGCAATGGCAACACAGCCCAGAAAGCTGGCATTTTAAAACTGAAGCTTTTTTCCTGTTGCTTGAGTGCCACTCTTCCCCCCTTAGGCACACAGCAGTGTAGTTGCCATAAGCCCTCTGGGGTTTTATGTGGAGTTCATTACCACGTTGGGCGCCACTCTGTAGTAGGAAGCAGCGGGCTGCATTCCACCTGGCTCGCAGCTGCCTGGCTAACTTATGCCCCGAAATAATTACACGAAAACTGTATTCATTTAAACACTGCTTGGCCCATTTGATCTAGCCTCTTATTGGTCTCTCTTACATATTGATCTAACCCATTTCTTATATTCTGTGTAGCCCCACGAGGTGTGGCTTACCAGGCAGATCTTAACCTGCATCTGTGTCTGGTGGGAGAATCATGGTGACTGCTTGATTTGGCTTCTTTCTCCCAGCATTCTGTTCTGTTTACTCTGCCTACCCAATTTTCTGTCCTATCAAAGGGCCAAGGCAGTCTCATTATTTAACGAATGAAATTAACACAAAACAGAAGACTCTTCCAATCAGAGGAAGAACATGAACAAGGAAGTCAGGACTGTGATTGGTGCAATCACCCACAGAGACAGTGGGCCTGATGTAATGAGGGCTCTCCAAGACCAGCTGGACTGGGTCTGAACGAGCATGCGATCAAACTAGACTCTCTTATTGTAGCTGACAATGAAGATTAACTGAGAAGCCAATGATAATAAAATGTATTTTGATTCTACTGCATGTACTGTCTTTTGAGGAGCCTAGTCTGTTTGGATCCACACCTTCCTAGAACTGATTGGAGGGGGCGCTTGGACTACCCACAAGGATGGGCACCCTGACTTCTCTAATGTCTGGTGAGTGAGGGGAAGGGGGAGTGGGGGGAGTTGGAGGGAAATGGGACAATGGGATAAGATAGAAATTATAAATAAATAAACAAACAAAAAATAGTTATGGAGTTCAGTCCCATAAATACATCTACAAGATACTATCTGAGCTAAAGCTCATGTAAAATTTGAACGTCTGATGGCGGTGGTAGAAAGATTTTTAAGAGCCAGATAAACAGGGAGTTATCTGCAAGCCTGTTTCTTTGTGTTGCATGAGTTCTATTTGGAATTAATAATAAAAACTCAGAGCCAGACATAGGGTAAATGCTGAAAGATCAGAGAGACAAAGCAGCAAGTCACAATTAACTCTTACCTTGCTAACACCTCAGAAGAAAAAGAGGCTGATCTCCTGTCTCCTCCTACCTTATATTCCTCTCTCCATCCTTTCTGTCTCTACAGGCCTCCAGACCTCTATGGTTAATTAGTAGCTAGCTCTGCTCTCTGATCTTAAGGCAAGCTTTATTTTTTTAGAACACAAGTAAAATATCACCACACCTTTGGGCTTAATAATGTAAGTGTTCTACTCTCTTTAGTGAGTTGACAATATTGGAACTTTACAACTTATTCTAACTTTTCTTTCCTGTAGACCACTTAATTTCAATGAGTATTATCTTTGCAAACAGAAAAATACCTTTAGCTTTTTTGTTATAAAATATTGCTGACAACACTACCTGCTATTTACAATACTTTTTTAACCTTTGCATTTGAAGGTTATTTTTTCTGACTGCATTTTAGATTGATAGATTTTTGTACTTATTATCTTTATTGCTCACATTAGCTTGTTTTGTTTTGTTGTTTAGCATTTCAGCATTCTGTTCCACTGTCTAACCTCCTGCTTCTGATGGGACTTACAGTTGTTTACCAGTATTTTCTACACATAATGTTACTGTTTGTTTTGTTTCCTTTCACATTTTCTCTTATTTTCAGCAGTTTGATGAAGTTTGTTTGAAGTTATATAAGTCACCATTGTAAAACATGGCACCAAATAACAATTTACTGAACTTGCTTTGTTCCTCATATCAAATAAAAGCAATCATTTTGAAGAGCTCTTGATGGGGCAATCTTCTAGTTGAGAACCACAAAGTGATATTACTTGTGGCTAAAAGAAACAATGATACTACCTAGCCAAATATTTGTTTAGATATTATGCCTACCAAAAATAAGGGATAAAATGGTTAATCTTTTTCCCATTATTTGACAAAAGTTGGAATAGATTTGTAGGCAAAAAACAATATTTACTGAAGAGTAATTGATTAAATAATAAACTCCACATAATTAATTTCTTGAGATGCTGGGTAAACATTTCATAAATGCAATAATCCACTGTTTTGAGTTAAAAGAATAAGAATGAACAGGAATGCTAAACATAAAGTTATATGTCTTTAAAGACCTGAACAATTAATACAAAAATTATAACAAATAGGTAAAATTTGGTAAAAAGAGAAAAACATTTAGTATTATTTCAAATAAAGATACAAAAGATCATGCTGAAGTCTATGAAGATCCTTCTAATTATAAATACTTCAGCATCATATTCATAGTCAGGCATGTTTTCTGAATGCAAACCCTCTAAACCATTGTCTACCCATTGGAGAAATCGTGGAGTGGAAAGATATGAAAGTACATGCAATGGAACATTAACTTCTGTATTACACTTTTTTTGTTTCAATGGGCATACATTGTGATATTTTTGTGACTTAAAATTAAGCAATGCAAACAAACAAACGAACAGAGTATGGAAAAATAAATTCATATTTGATGCAGTCTAGACACAGGAAATGGTGGGTTCAGTAAAGTTTTCAACAGAAATCCCTGGTTTCCTACTCTGGCACCTTCTTACTGTCTCAGAGTTAAGAACGCTGATTAAAGAAATACATATCTCCTTACCTAACTTTGAGGGGTTAAAATGTGATTACACTTTTGTTTTTAAGCTGAAGTACATTTTCAAAAAAAAGAATGTAGAAATCTTTTCAGTGTTGTAGAGAACAAAATGATTGTCTTTTTGCAAATATTTCACATTCTCCTGTTCATCCTGGGCTTTTGAATGAGATGATTTTTTGTTGTTGTGTCCTGTAAACTTTCTATTATCTCACTTTTTTTTTTTTTAGGTTTTCGAGACAGGGTTTCTCTGTAGCTTTGGAGCCTGTCCTGGCACTAGCTCTTGTAGACCAGGCTGGCCTCGAACTCACAGAGATGCACCTGCCTCTGCCTCCCGAGTGCTGGGATTAAAGGCGTGCGCCACCACCGCCCGGCCTATTATCTCACTTTTTATTCTGCCTCTGTTCTCTCTTTTCCAACACATTCTGATTCCACGGAATAATCTACAATGTGTGTTTTAACTAAGCATACTTCAAAACCAGAACCCACCATATGAGATCAGAGCCTCTCTGAATCAGGTATTCCCTTGAAGCATTGACATCCCAGCTTTATACTCCTTTTAAAATATCGTTAACCACTGCAAGTTTTTCACATTGTATTTGTGTGTCTTTTGTGCTGTTTCTGCTCTTGGAGGTCCCAGATTAGCAAAATGGATGTTGCCTTTGTTTTACTATGTTTCTTTTCACTCTTTTACTCAATTTTTCCTTCATTATGTACTCTTCTTTTTCCATTTAATACATCTTAAGTTTCTTACCTGTCTGTTGCTGTATATGCTATGCTAGCAAAAGCCTGTATGTTTGCAGTGACCCAAAGCTTGTCATCATTGAGTATGACATCTTTCTATTTAACAAGAGGGTCTAGTTCTGTACTTTGTATAACATAGGCTACCTGTCCACACATTCCCCTACCATGGTTCACACATGATCATCTTCTTTCTATCATTGGTGTACTTACTCTGTTTCTAATTGGATACATTTTCTGTAGAATATGCCCCTGTCAAACCTAATTACTGTGATGAAATGTGCTCTCTGTGTTGACAATGTGTCAACTGAATTAGTAAGTTTGTACCTCCATTCATTAATGCAAATCCTTATCTTGTCTCCTCTTTTGTTGCATAGAGATAGATGTCAGAGAAAAAAATAACCAGAGCAGATAAAATGTTACTCTTTACATAACATACCTTCTTGTACATCTTAATGAGGAAATGTACCTTGTGGAAATGATATGGTCTTAATATTGCCAACATTTTGTTATCCATAAGATCTATATAAAACTGAAATTGCTTCTCTCCTTCCCTTTGAGGGTATAAAAATATCACCACAGAAGTTGTGGTGGTCACCTTTATTACTGCTGATGCAACACAAAGCAGAAGGAGCACAGAGAGATGTTAAAATGATCACCACACCTAAGAGGTCTCACAGTGCTTACTTCCTTATGCCTCTGCTTAATTGAATCATATGCGTTCAAATTAGAATCCAAAGAACTCTTTTCTCTTCTGTGACAGGTGTGATAAAACTAGAAATCCCTTTCTCTTAATCAACAGAGGCTGTGAACATTCCCTGGTATGGCCAAAAAGATGTTGTACCTACAATTATGTTCATGATTTTGAGATGTGCAAGTGATTGTGTACTATTTAGATTAGCTATCTCAGTATACCCACAGAGGTCTTTATTGAGACGATAAGGGACCTAAAAGATAAGGTAAGAAACACAAGCATTCACTGAAAAGGCAGGAAGTCACCCGTCTATTTGTATGACATTGGTATGGACTCCTGAACAAAAGTCACAGAAGGAAAGCAGCCTGAACAACATCTTGTTGTGAGATCAGAAAAACCCATTTTGTACCCTAACAATCAGGAGTATTATCCACTTGTGTTGCTTTCAAACAGCAAATGCTTGGTGATTTGTCTCTGCAGCAACAGGAAACCGATACATGATTCACAGAGGTAGATTCGATATGATTTTATGATTCAGTACAAGGCCCCAGCTAACTTCCTAGAGAATGAAATAGGTTTCATTACTTCTTGCTTGGGCCTTCTCAAATGAGGTTCATTTACATTTCAACAACCTAAATGTCTGTTCCCGAATTCCCCTTAGGCTGAGCTTACTTTAATATTTTCAGCTATTCATCACAGCTGCCTAGGTTTGCTAAAATGACCTAGTCATACAATACAAAAAAAGCCCTAGATGTTACTTGCTCTATCTTCAGTAGAGCAGAATCAGTGAACCTTAAGGACCTGCCTTTTATTGGAACAATACATTCTTCCATCGAGATGAAGACTTATTTTTGCAATCAATCCTCTTTTCAATGATGCAACATAGGATACAAAGCTTGTGGAGGCTGAATTGTTGGAAGGATAAAATCTACATTTTCGAGTACAAGAGCATCCCTGCAAACACACGGATAACCAGAGGGGATGTCTTTCTTCCTCATTATAACAAGAGGATACTCAGGATATGAAATGTTAGGTACTATAAAAAAAGAATAAATAGTTATAATTATAGTTTTCATTGGTTATGATAAAATATAAGATACATATGAATATTATAACTGTGATTATTGCTAGATAACTCTTTTTATATGCAATATTAGTATGTTAAAATTAAATCTTTCTCTTTTATTTAGAAAGAAAAGGGAAGCTGATTTGGGAGGTGATATATTCTGTGAATACCTTGTATTGCCATTTGTTAATAAGTAAGCTGAATCCACCAATGTCTTAGCCGAGTAAAGAAAGCCTGAAGGAGCTATATAGAAAAAGTAGGAAGAGTCACTGAGAAGTCTTGAATCTGCTGCCAGAAACAGATATCATTCCTGGCATCTGCTGAAATTTGCCAGTAAGCCACGACCTCATGGTGGTCCACAGATTAGGAGAAGTGGGTTATTTTAGGATATAGGAGTAAGCTAGCATTACTTTTAAGCTATTGGCCAGACATTATTGTAAATAATATAGTTTCAGATTCGTTATTTCAAGTCAGGGCTTTAGGATAAAAGCCATCATTATCTGCCGACAGATCTACTCCTTATGATATGCTGTCTTCAAATAAGGTATCCTTTTCTTCGGGATATAAATTGGATATACACATGGCATGAAGTATTTTTAAGTCCAAGAATAATGGTAAGTAGTAGGTATTAATAGGGTGTAATTAGAATAAACACTGCAAATTTTTAGCTCTTTGATCAACTGTGCATGAGTAATATTGGTGTAAAATGCTGTGATATTTACCATTGCATTAGAGGATGAAGAGAACATTTGTTAAGATAAAAAAACTGATTTTCATGGTATAATTTGATAACTGAGAAAATAATTTTAGAAATTGCCTCAAATATTCCACTCCTTGAGCTAGATCCTATTGTAGCAAAGTTCTTATAGAATTAAATGTGTACCCCCGTAGAGGAAAAACTCTATTTTTAGAGCATCATGATAAAATAGTACCGCATCATTTTGGCATAGATTATAATAAAGGATTCTTTATTTGGGGGTAGCCTCTCAGATCAACAGTCCTCTGCACAAGCAGGGAACAGGGAACAGAACCAGACTGACAAGAATGAGCAAGAGCATGTTTCCTAATCTGTTGTTATAGTATGCCAAGACCATGTTCATGTGGTCCAGCATCCAAAGCCATTGTCTTAAGGAGTTCCCAGAGCACCTCTCCCTTTTGTTGAAATAAGAGAGTTTTAAACCCATTGTAAAACTACATACAAATAGGAACAGATGTCAAGTATCAAAATTAGAGTTACCAGAGAAAACCTGTCTTGAAAAACAAAACAAAAAGTAGAGTTACACACATCATAAACTATATCAAGATAGAAATTTATCCTAAATATTTCAATGAATTCTATCCTAAGGAGTCTAAGTCTGATATTAGTAATGGCTTGTCCAAGTCATGAGAGGAATGTAACTATGCCTACATAGTATACAAACCCATTGAAAAATTGAGAGAAAAATAATATTACATAAAAATGAAGTACAAAGAAGCAACTTTCAAATGCGGAAAAAGTGACAGAGACAACCGGCTATGTAGGCTATCACCCAAAGTTTCATTTTCAACATAGGAGCAAATAACATTTCTTAGACATATTGTCACTGACAGACCATCTTCAGAAGCAGGAAAAATTTTAAATTCATCTTACCCAGTCTTGTCAATGTTTGGCAATCTTTTTTTTCTTTCATCACGCTTGTCCAGTTCAGACATTGTGCATTTTTTCCAGTGTCAGGACATGGGGAGCTCTTTGCACAAAGGCCAGTTTTTACAAGCTCCTAGTGGATGTCTTCAGTGCCCCACATGCTCTGAGGAATAGACTAGTTCTGCTAAAGGATGAATGTTTGTTCCCCTTATTTTCCCCTTGTTACGTAGCTTGTCTGGCATTGGGGGCTATAGGTTTGCTTTATTTGGTGTTCACCGATGATTGACTACAAACAACCCTCATAAATCTGATCTGTGTTAACTCACTCAGGATGGAGTTTTCTAGTTTCAATCTATTGCCTGCAAATTTGAAGATGTCATCGTCTTTTCCCACTGAGGAGTACCCCATTGGCTAAATATACCCACAAATTTTTATTCAGTTTTATTCATTGGGCATAGATTTACCTCCATGCTATTCTAATTATATTATATGCATAAGGACGATAGTCGAAGAACCCAGACATTTACCCATATTTTCACATTATCATCTACAATTCAGAAAAGATAATTTAATATTGATGTTACAGAACCATATCAAACTTGGTGAGTAAGCTGAATACCATTTTCTTTAGACTAGTAAACAGTGTAGTCTGTGAGTTATAGTCTTTATCTTATTTTTTTGCCTTTATGTTTACATTGTAACCTGAGACAGTCAACAACATGCTCATTTGGAAATTTAGAAACCCAGAAGACATTTTCACAATTCTCATTTTCTAAAGCAAGCATGCTAGTATTGTGCAATTCCAGAATATTAGAGGAGTGTAGAAAGAGGAAGTTCTCTGAGTATTTATGTCCAGCTAGCCTAGAATGGCACATTCCAGTCAAAGGAGAAATCCAGTCTCATATCTTCTAGTTCCAATAAACATCTACATGAAACCAGTATTTGATTAATATAAAAGAACATTTGCCCCAATGCAATTAAAAAAATGGAACTAAATGCATTATTCTTGTAGCTTATGCAGTGTCAAAAATTCTAGCAGGACGAATGGCAGGACAAATTTTCATAGTGGCTTGCCATGAAATAGACATAACAATAGATCGCATGAAACTGGAGGACACACAACTTGCTTAAATAAAATCTCTTTGTAATATATATATAAATGTATATATATAAATATATATATAATATATATATATATATATATCCGTTTGAATGGTGCTCATGGGATTTAGAGAAAACTTGTAATATATTGAATTCTGTTGTTTTTTAAAATAAATAATTATAAATTATTATTTAAAAAATAATTATGTATATTGCTTGCATGCAAGGAACAAAAATATGAAGGATGCTTCATGCAAATGTATATGTCCAAATAACTATAAGCCTTAAAACAAACAGATACAAATGTTAACAATTTAAATATATTTATTTTTTTCTGAAATCAATTAAACTGAATTCATTTCTTTATCACTAAGATATTGTGAGTTACTATATTACTCTTGGGTCTACATTAGAGTAGGTTAAAAATCTACATTTCTTTCTACAGTCTCCCCAATTCCTCGTATTGCCCTCTAATTAACTTATATATATTGTGTATTATAATTAAATTACATTAAATATTATAATTGCATTTTTATTTGTATATAATTCATAATATCATATGTAACATTTTTATTATAATTTGACTGCATAAAAACCACACCTAAAATCATAGAAAAAAATCACAAAGATTCAGAAGCCAGATACATTGGCAGCACAGATTCACAATCAAAAAATCCTCAGAGAGGAAGAAAGGCTCCCATGTATATAGGTATATTCAAGGGAAAAGCATCTGCCAGCTGGCTCAACCTGTTACATTTTACCACGTTAGTTGGCTGTTAATTGGAGGCAAAATGCAGGGTAAATTACATTTTATCCTCTGTTCCCCTGTCAATTGCTCTGCTTCTTTTCACAATAAAAGGTAAGGAGAGAGACACAGATGACTCATCAGCTCTGGATGAGATCATCAAGATGAATGCTGTCTTGTGCTTTCCGGTCCTTGTTATGAGATTTCTCTGCTCATTGGTTCCTACATGGCATAAAAAGGACTGCACTGAGGAATTTTGCCAGTGGGGCTTTGACTAAAGTCCTGCTCAAAGCTGGCCTTTAGTCAAAGCCTCACTGTAAAAAACACCAGAGAAGAAAATGTGTCCAAGAGACCTGCAGGATACAGAATCATAGGAAAAGCAAGGAATTTGTGAGAGTCACCTGATTCTGTTTGCAGTGCAGGAAATGAGCTCGAGTCTGAAGCCACTGATTCAGCAGCAAAATCTGCGATTCCAAGGTTAGCTTTAGATTATTTATTTTCTGAAATGATGATTTTCATAGAAAGTCTATACATGACAACACTGAAATGTACTGATCTTATGCGCTATTGGAAGCCTCACTAAGATAATTGCTCTGTTGAAAAATAGCCTCAGGCACCTGGGAATCTAAAAATTTCAAGTGTAAGATTCCGTAATAAGTGTTTAGGGACTCTGACACGGCATTTCTGAATGTGACACCAGGAAGCTGCAATCGGCAGCACAGAATCACAATCAGCCATCAGCAGGGAGAAATGGAAATTTCAGGTAGATAGGCAGGATACATACCCAAGAATTCAGATCACCTCCTACTTACCTCATAATGATTTCCCTTTTGATAATGGGATTCTGGTCCTAGGTAAACTACATTATTTCCTGCCATCTAGTTTCACTTTCATATTTTTTGCTGTAGCAAACATTGAGAAGGGAAGGAGAAATGAGTCCGCAGCTCTGATGCAGATCTCCAAGGTTACCACAGTCTTTGTTCCTATTGGTGGAATTGAGATCATTCTTGTCATTCTTCCGTGGAAAATTTGAATGCACACACTCCTTCAGAGGATTCCGAGGCAAGGAGAGCTAATAATATTGTCAGCATAGCGAATCCTTCCTAGTCAGGATCTGGCTATATGCCAGCTCGCAGCTGCAAATATTTATAGCTGAAATCCGAATGTACATTTCCCGGACACAGCAGACTGCTCCTATATGACAAAAAAACCCAGAATAATTAGCAGTCAGGTACTGGTATATTCCAGTATTACTGTTTGGAGTCACCTGTTATGGTCTGTGCATCATGTCCATCCCTGCTTCTGAAACCTCTCCTTCTCTTTAAAGTTGTGGCACCACTATCTCTGTCTTGAACACTGCAGCATCTGCAAAGAAATAATTCCCTTGATGTTTTAGTATATGACAGTGTCAAGGGGAGTCATGCCCTTTCCTCTTTTCTCTGAGTTTCATTGTGAAAATTGGTATGACATTGCAGGTTTTTTTTTCATGAAAACAGAATCATTGATAATATTATGCAGTAACATATGAAAGCACTATTTTACCTGTCCCCAAAGACTCTGAATTATAATAGGGTATAGAAGAGTAAACCGACTTCTTATTATCCTATTTCTTTTAAGGTCCTCACAATCTCAAATTTGCTGTTTTGAAATGCACATGATATTTTCTCACTTTTTGTCCATTCCCAATAAGTAAATCAGACAGCATGTGCTTTTTGGAAATCCAGTGTTAATTGGTGATGGCAGCGAGGTAATGCACACTTCCCTTGAAAATCATTAACACAATAGATATCTTTGTTATTGTGAGTCTTGTTTTATATGCTTTAAATGTTCAGAACTTATCTTGTTCATCTCAGTTCATCTCAGATCTAAATGTGTATATCTGCTAGTAATGTTGAGACTGGTAAAATTGGTACTTTGGAATCAAGAGCCTCCATTTCAATCTGTAACAATATTTCTGCCATCTTTAAAATATACATATATGAAATTTCTGATTGTGCTATCACTTACAATATAAAGTAGGCTCAATTGTTGCAAATGGCAAATTGAACTTTCTTTCAATTATATAGCTACAGTTCTTAATAATCAAATAGTAGAAATTTGGACATGTCTATGCATATTAACCAGTAATACCCTCAGAAGATAAATTTTGACAAATAATGCCATTTGAATTAGCTGAAAAAATCATGCATTTTTCCTTGATATTTTGTAGCCCAGTTAGTTGTGGGTTTAACCATAACATATTAGGATGATTATTAGAAAACATAGCTATATTAATGGTTTAAGAGACTGACTCTCAGATCCTAATAGTGTAAAAATATTGATTAAATACCTTATTATTAAAATAAACAGTAAAACTTAATTTTGTTAGTGCTTTGTAGATTTGTATGGGATTCTCCTGAATGTTGTTCTTCTTTGATATATGTGTGGATTATATAAAAATCACGAAGATACTTTAGTCATCCTATGGTTTCAGTTCAGGAGTCAGACAAAAATTATTGAATCTGTAAGAATGCCAATAATACAATTAGAGTAAAGAATGTAGTAGTTAGTTACATATAAAAATATCAGTGTGTACTCTAAATGATAACCCTTATGTTATTTTCTGCTTTATGTTAAAAAAATTCACAGACTCATCAAGGGCTCTGTCCATGAACGGGTAATTTGAAAAGTAACTACTGGATATATTTCTAATACATACATGCGAAAAAAAAACTGATATACAAACATTATCATGTTTTTCTCAGAACAGATAGCATATGCAGTGAATACAGATCTGAGATTTACTTGCCTGTTTTCATACCACGTGTGGCAAATTTCAAGTCTGAGGCATTTTATTATAGTAACACATGCAAATAGTAATTTATTGGTATTTATGTATATGTACACTTGTATTAATGAATTTAAACTATGTAAATTTGCTTATGTATTTGTTTCATTACAAATACCAGAGAATGCTCTACTGTATTATGAGGAACATTATGAATTGAAAATATTATCAGAATGTCTTATATTATTTGCAGAAATGATGAAAGGGGAAAGATAGATTTTCTCAGGTATGCTAGCTTTGAAATGATGCCTATGTACTAGAAGAATGCCCATACCAAAACACACACACACACAAACACACACACACACACACACACACACACACACACACACACACTCACATTTTCCCTGAAGTCAGATGTCACTGAAAAGAGAGAACAGATAAATGACATGAGGCTGGACTACTGATATTGGTGATTTCAGGGAAAATCTAGAGAAGGCATTATAGTGATTTTATCAAAATTTAAATGTTCACATAAACATATATCAAAACATGTCAGAAATTTTAATTGAGACTAGTACTCTGAAATTAACGTCAAAACATGTAAATTTAAGTGATACACTAAAACAAGCATGCAGACAATTGTGAAATTTTGAACATAATACATGTATTGTGCTTTTTCTAAATGAAAACAACAAATTGTTGCTAAATTATCATGACATTGTTAGATACGATTTTGTAACATTTTCATGTTAATACTCGGTTTTAAAATAACGTTCCTATTTAGAAAATGCCCTTATTTCTACATATTTTTATGTAAAATACATACATACTGATGTAGGAGGTCCTTTTCTCTACATGTTGCTTTCCTTGATTAATGAATAAAAAAATTGTCTGGGTCTTTGATAGGGCAGAACATAGGTAGGCAGGGAAAACAGAACTAAATCCAGGGAGAAAAAAAGCAGAGGAGAGAGCTACCATGGAGCCACCAGAGCCAGACATGCTGAATCTTTCCTGGTAAGCCACTGCCATGTAGCAATATACAGATTGATAGAAATGGATTAAATCAAGATGTGAGAGTTAGCCAATAGGAGGCTAGAGTAAATGGGTTAAGGACTATTTTAATTAATATAATTTCTGTTTAGTTATTTCAGGGCTAAGGAAGCAGGGTGGCTGGCATGAAAAGCAGCCTTTCCCTGGAAAAATTGGCGCTCAACGTGATCAACTAAACCAATAAAATATATGAAATACAAAAGGTATGAATAAATATAACTGCCTATTACAATTATTTTTAAATGAAATGTATACATATATACTCACACACTGTACATTTTATAGTAATTTGTGTATCCATTTTTATTATCAGAGTTTCAGAAACACAATTTTCAGCAATCTCAATCCATTATTACTTGGTGAGCACTTACAGCTACAATATCATCTAGTCTGGTAATCTTCTGGTCAGTCCACTACATCAAACTTTCAGGAAGCTAGTGTGGTCCATTATCTTCCTGTAAACACACACACACACACACACACACACACACACACACACATATGCAGACACTCATTCAGTCCCAGTCTAGCTGACGTTGGTGAGCTCCCATTAGATCAGTCCCAATGTCCCCGTGTTTTGACACAAACCTCGCTGCCCTGACTTCCTTTCTCATGTATTCCCTCTTTCTACTATTCATCTGTGCCTTGGGAACTCTGTCCTGTGCTCCAATTTAGGTCTCTATCTCTATCCCCATCCATCACAAGATGAAGGTTCTATGGTGATATGCAAGATATTCATCAGTATGGCCAGATCAGGCATCCTCTCCTCTGCTGCCCAAGAACCTAGCTGGGGAAATCCCCATGGATAGCTGGGAACCCCTCTAGAGCCAAGTCTCTTGCCAACCCTAAAATGGCTCCCTTAGTTAAGATATCTTCTTCCCTGCTCCTATATCCACCCTTCCTCCATCTCAACCACTTTGGAAATCAGTGTGGTGGTTTCCCAGGAAAATGGGAGTCATCCCACCACAGGATCCTGCAATTCCCTTCTTGTGAATATACCCAAGAGATGCTCTATCATACTACAAAAGCATTTGTTCAACTATGTTCATAGCAGCACTATTTGTAATAGCCAAAACCTGGAAACAATCTAGGTGCCCCTAAATAGAATAATGTATAAAAAAGTTTTTGCACATATACACCATAGAGTTTTACTCAGCAGTAAAAAACAATTACATCTTGAATTTTGGGTTCAAATGGATGGAAATAAAAAATACTTTACTGGGTGAGGTAACCCAGACCCAAAAAATGAAGATGGTATGTACTTACTCATAAACAGCAGACATTGAGCCTATAATTCGTGATACTACAGAAGATAAATAAAAAGGTGAACCCAATGAAAAATATATATTTATCCTCCTGGATATTGGAAGTAGACAAGATCTCTGGGCAAATGTTGGGGGCATGGGGGTTGTTTTAGTTTGGGGGGAAAGGGAGATGGGGAGAGAGAATGGATTGGGTATCTTAAAGGTAGAGAGGGTAGTAGTCTTTCATGTCTTATCTGAATACTTAGTTTTATGGCATAGCTCTAGGCATTCTCACAGTTACTCTCTATACTAAGATAACAATTAATTATAATATTTACAAAAGCCAAACTCCATAGAATAACTAGATGTAAGCTGAGGGATCCAAGCCTGATACATAAACGTAATTAAAGAAAGAGGAGAGCTGCTAAATCCAAATCTATCAATTCATGTGTTAGTGGGAGAAATTAGGAGTTCCATTGTTGAGATCTAGGTGATGGATATTGTTAGACTCATGGAAACCTAATTTGAATTTTGCACATACTAGCAAATTGGAGGATCATTTTTTCATTTGCATATAACACATGTCAGTGATATTAATGGTGACAATAAATCACAACTACACATCCTTCAAAAGACCATGCCTTTATAAAACTTAGTTACCAATTAGCTTTGAATTTTCTGATACTTTCTCAGAACAGGTGACAATGAAATTCACAAATCTTCACAATCTTTTGTATCACTGCAAGTCTATTTTTAATTTTTTAAAAGTTTTATTTTTATTTTATATGCATTGGTGTTTTACCCTGAGTGACATTCTCTTCACAACACTGAGTTATTTCCCATCTAGTTTCAGAAGTAATATTTCTGGTGAGTTTCTGCTGATGCACAAATATTTAGATATGAGAACATATGAATAGGAATCAGATTATTTGTATATGATTCTAACAGAAAGAAAAAAATTTCCTGTATAATTTTGTAATCATTTAGTCTCAGTTAGTTTATTAAATACGTGTCAGGTATTCTTTCCATACCATGTTCTTAATCATAATCCTCATAGTTACTTCATATTATGCATCATTATGGTGCCACTTTGATAAAAAAAAAAATCTGAAGATTGTTCTTGACCCTCACTTTGATGCCATGTTGCACATGAAAGTGAGAAATTTTGTTCCTTCTCAATTAAGCCATATGACACAAATTCAATTTCAGTCATATCTCATGAATTCATTTCCTGTGAGGCTTCTTTTGCAATAGAGGGATTTTTGATCAATGAGAAAATAAGTGTGTAAGAATATTAAATATAAGTGTTTTGCCTCATATTGGGAGGTGACAATATATTTTTGAAATGCAGTAGCAAAAACAGCAATAAGATTAAGTATGACAACCATTATTATACCGAACATGTGCTTTATATTTTCAATATCTTTTTGAAGAATTCTACAATATTATCTAGAGGATTTTGAGCCCAAGAACGACCCAAGTTACTGGCAGCCAAATATGTGTATACTGTTGTAATATCATAAGTGATTGATTATGAGGATTAAACTTAAAAGTGGAATTAATATATAAATACAATTAACATTCACAAAAATTAATTCCAGTTGTAAAATTAATTCTTCCAACATAAATGCATGTGGTAGTGTTACACAAGCAGTAACATTACTACTTCCAAATAAGTGAAATTTATAAATAGGAGCAGATACTTGTGTTGCAATAAATGAGCCATTTAAAAGCTGAACAGGTTTAAGGTAGCCACAATCTTCTGAATTGCAGGAGCGTCTTTGAGTAAGGAATATGATTATCAGTAATTCCTCCATCTCCCCATGACAGAAGAAGTGTTCAAGTTATCATTTCATTCTTGACTCAGTTCAACCTGATAACATTAAGCAAATCACAAGTGATAATATTCCATTCAGAACAAGTGATAATAAATTGACATTATGGGCGAAAAAGGATCTATTTATTTTGAATTATTTTGCCATATTTGCCCAAACAAGTCTTCCAAATAAATGGCTGATATTTTAAACCATAATATGTAAAACCTGGCCATACAGGATATAATAATTCATTATGGATTATTATTACTGTACTAGGTCTGATTAATTTACCATGCTGAAAGCCTTTGAAGAAGTGTACAAGATCTGCAAATTGTAATTCCAGGTTGTAACCAATGATGTAATCCCACTTATAAACAAAGACCATTTCCAAAGCTTATTGGCTTTGTATCATCCATATAAGTAAAATTATAAGAGGTCCCATCAAAATTATTTAGATAAGTCAAGTCATTCCCAGGAGGAGAGAGGATACTTACAGTGATATACACTAAAACATCAGTATCTCCCCAAAAGAAGGCTTAAACATGGATGTACAAGAGAGATAAGCACAATAATTTACAGCTGATCCCTGAACAAAAGAGACAATTAACAGAGCACATACGGCCAGAAAAAATATTCAGCTGTAACTGGTCTTTTGGACTGCTGACCATAGAGCACAAGAGATTTACCTAACCCCAAGTTGGTGATCATGGTGAAGATCAGTATTGGAGAGGTCACTTCCATGAGTATAATTTTACCATGGCCAATATTGGAATGTCTACTTCAGGAGTCATAATTGTCACTCATCCTGAACAAACAATACCATAAACTCTTGCTCTATCCATTAGAAATGAAGACTGCCATTCAGTATTTATGGCAATTTTTCTGCTAGTTCAACATTTGGAGTATGAGCAAAGTATTTATCTTCTCTAACTAGAATATCCCTTCAGGGCAGATTTAAGAAATTTAATGTGTATTAATGTAATGTCACAATTATTCTTCCAAATATTTCATATTTATTCCTTACCAAAATCTTCCTTTTTAAAATTTCAATTTGCTGTTTTAAAATGTAATGGACTTGAAAGTATTATTAATTAATCAAAATGGATTTTTTTCATTTTATTAAAAAATTCTACCTCCTTTCCTCCTCCCATTTCCATTCCCTTCCTTCCAACCCCCTCACCCTCTTCTTCCAGTCCAAAGAGCAGTCAGAGGTCCATGCCTTGTGGGAAGTCCAACCTTGTCCTCCCTCCATCACGGTCTATGTAGGTGAGCATCCAAATAAACTATGCTCCCACAAACCAGTACATACAGTAGAATCAAAACCCAGTGCCATTGTCCTTGGCTTCTCAGTCAGCTCTCATTTCAGCCACATTCAGAGAGTCTTGTTTGACCACATGCTCCATCAGTGTGAGTCCAGCTGGCCTTGGTGAGCTCCTATTAGATCAGCCCCACAGTCTAAGTGGATGGGAGCATTGCTCATGGTCCTGACTTCCTTCCTTATGTTCTTCCTACTTCTGCTCCTCATTTGGACCTTGGTATCTCAGTCCATGTCCTCCAATGTGGTTCTCTGTCTCTATCTCCATCTATTGCCAGATGAGGTTCTATGGTGTTATGCAAGACATTCATCAGTGTGGCTATAGGATAAAGCCAGTTCAGGCACCCTCTACTCTGCTGTCAAAGGAAAAGTATGATTATTATATCAAAATGGAATTTTATCTTGAACATGTAGATGATTAGCATTAGTATGTAAATGTCCATTGTCGTCTTTAACAAAGGAAAAGGCTACCAATGATCCCTTAAAGCATTTCCAAATTTTCAAATGTCAGATCTCCAGACATTTTGCATGTGATCATAGGTTATAACCTATTCAAAAAGGCCTTTTAAATATGCTCTTTAACTACTTTTACTTTTGTCTGAACTTCTTTGTTAAGAAACTGATTTTCCAATATCCAAAGCATATTAAATCTTTTAAATTTTTATTTCAATTTACAAATTATACTAAATGGTGGCCATAGTTTCAGCAGCCAATTGCAGTTTTATTTCAGATGGAATATCTTTTCATACTTTCCTATAACTTTTAATATTTCCTGTTTCCTGAACTGATAGCATAGCTCATTATAACACACCTTGGCATTTTTATAT